ACGAATGGATTGAGACACTTAACTGATCTCCTCCAGATTTGCCTTCAGGAGGTGATGTTGCTCATTTGACTAATAAAGTCAGCCAGTTCAGCTGTTCTTAAAAATAGTGTAATGGACTCTTTTGCAAAGTATCATATGTGAAGTCTGATTCATTTGAGTGAATCAGTATTTTTAGATTTACATGAACAGGTTGCAAAAAGATTCACTGATAAATGATTCACAGGCATCTTTGTGGTATTTAAATTTGTGTGATACACTTAATTTGATATGACTATTTGAATTATTTAATAATATATACATTTGATAGCAGTGTTTTTGTGTCGTGTGGTGGTTGTTTTGGTGGTAATTTAATTGACTAACTTGACAACTTCTTAATTTTGACATTAATTTTCATTTTTACACCAGACATATATATCGGTTCAAAATATTGGTTATCGGTCTACTTGATCTGTAATAATCGGTATCGGCATCGGCCTTGAAAAACACATAGGCTATCGGTCGACCCCTGTTACTACACAGAGCCGTAGTTCACTAACAAGCTACGCATACAGCTTTCATAATTGCAGAACGATATCTTCGATTTCATAATCGCACGATTAAATCGGTCTGCGATTATGAACGCGATTTTGCGTAGCACAGAACTACGGCTCTGTGTAGTAAATGCTGCTCCATCTGAAAACACGTGATGGAGATTTACTACTGATTACAGAACCGGCTTTACTGATAAGATGCGCATGACAATCGCATTCGATTAATCGTGCAGCCCTAGTAGTTATTTGTGTAATTACACTGTAACAACGGCACATTAAAATAAAGTGTGACCAAATCGGTAATCAGTATAGCGTGACAAAATGCTACACTGGTTTTGCAAAGTATCATATGTAAAGTCTGATTCATTTGAGTGAATCAGTTTGTTTAGATTTACATGAACAGGTTGCAAAAAGATTCACTGATAAGTGATTCACAGATAAATGATTCACAGGCATCTTTGTGGTATTTAAATTTGTGTGATACACTTAATTTTATATTACTATTTATTTGAATTATTTAATAATATATACATTTGATAGCAGTGTTTTTGTGTCGTGTGGTGGTTGTTCTGGTGGTAATTTAATTGACTAACTTGACAACTTACAGTTCCAAACACAACATCACACCACCATTTTTGACATACGAAACACTTTTCGAAAGCATGTTCATAAGAAAACATAATTTGCTTCATAAACAGCCCATTTTATACTGATGGATCTCGCGTAAAACCATTTTAATCTTCTTACCCATGTTCCTTGTGCTTTTGAGGGGTGGGGGGGATCTGCTTCATATGGTGACCTTTGAAACAATCAGCCATGTCTTAAGGTGAATGAGGCAGCAGTGAAAGGTTGTGTCCAGATGCCGGGTGTGAGGTTTCCTGTGGACATTGATACATTCATACATTGATCCTCAGAAACAATAGAGCTCACCTCATGCATTGTGAGGGAATTAATGAATAACATACGAATAATCTCCCTATTCATACTACATTGGTGAGCATTTGCGGTGATTTTAAATTACTTTTGCTGCACCTGTGCTGTTTCTTTGTCATAAATTAGGGGAAGAGTTTATAAAGCTCTACAGCCTGTCCTTATTGGTGAATGTTTAACTTTAGACCATTTCCAGCATATTCAGCAATAATGAGAAACTCAATGCAAAACTGGTGACAGAAATTGTAAAATACTTTTCACAGTCAAACTACTCGTACTAAAAGGTAATGAAGATATTATCATTTGAAAAATCGGATTTGTTTGTAACAAAACTAAACGTAACGTGCAACATGAAAACGTGAAAAAAATAACAGTATAGGAGATTCACTCCAAAAGCAGAATCTTGACATGGAGCAAAGAATGCTAAATTCATATAATATTAATAATAAAATTATTATATTATAGAAGTATTTGCATCAAGAGTAATGCGTTAAAACAATTTTCAACACCTAACTATTCAAACTACTTGAACGACACAGCAGATTTCGCATTTTTGGAGATTTACTACTGATTACAGAACCGGCTTTACTGATAAGATGCGCATGACAATCGCATTCGATTAATCGTGCAGCCCTAGTAGTTATTTGTGTAATTACACTGTAACAACGGCACATTAAAATAAAGTGTGACCAAATCGGTAATCAGTATAGCGTGACAAAATGCTACACTGGTTTTGCAAAGTATCATATGTAAAGTCTGATTCATTTGAGTGAATCAGTTTGTTTAGATTTACATGAACAGGTTGCAAAAAGATTCACTGATAAGTGATTCACAGATAAATGATTCACAGGCATCTTTGTGGTATTTAAATTTGTGTGATACACTTAATTTTATATTACTATTTATTTGAATTATTTAATAATATATACATTTGATAGCAGTGTTTTTGTGTCGTGTGGTGGTTGTTCTGGTGGTAATTTAATTGACTAACTTGACAACTTACAGTTCCAAACACAACATCACACCACCATTTTTGACATACGAAACACTTTTCGAAAGCATGTTCATAAGAAAACATAATTTGCTTCATAAACAGCCCATTTTATACTGATGGATCTCGCGTAAAACCATTTTAATCTTCTTACCCATGTTCCTTGTGCTTTTGAGGGGTGGGGGGGATCTGCTTCATATGGTGACCTTTGAAACAATCAGCCATGTCTTAAGGTGAATGAGGCAGCAGTGAAAGGTTGTGTCCAGATGCCGGGTGTGAGGTTTCCTGTGGACATTGATACATTCATACATTGATCCTCAGAAACAATAGAGCTCACCTCATGCATTGTGAGGGAATTAATGAATAACATACGAATAATCTCCCTATTCACACTACATTGGTGAGCATTTGCGGTGATTTTAAATTACTTTTGCTGCACCTGTGCTGTTTCTTTGTCATAAATTAGGGGAAGAGTTTATAAAGCTCTACAGCCTGTCCTTATTGGTGAATGTTTAACTTTAGACCATTTCCAGCATATTCAGCAATAATGAGAAACTCAATGCAAAACTGGTGACAGAAATTGTAAAATACTTTTCACAGTCAAACTACTCGTACTAAAAGGTAATGAAGATATTATCATTTGAAAAATCGGATTTGTTTGTAACAAAACTAAACGTAACGTGCAACATGAAAACGTGAAAAAAATAACAGTATAGGAGATTCACTCCAAAAGCAGAATCTTGACATGGAGCAAAGAATGCTAAATTCATATAATATTAATAATAAAATTATTATATTATAGAAGTATTTGCATCAAGAGTAATGCGTTAAAACAATTTTCAACACCTAACTATTCAAACTACTTGAACGACACAGCAGATTTCGCATTTTTATTTTGTTGATTTAACAACCTAGTGACAATGCTGTGCATTTAACAGGAAACTGACAAAAAATTGAACACCAAAACTGTGATGTTAAAGTTTAGATACTATGTGATCTAAGAATACATTGGCTACTTACAGCCACGTCAGCAAGCAACAACGACTGTATTTCATTCATTATATTGTTAACCCATTTCACCACACAAAAAATAAAAATAAAGTGAGTGTGCACCCTGATGTGTTTCTACTGCATTAACATTTGTTCGATGTGCAGATCTGAGTGGATTTTGTAAAACAAATCAAGAATTTATTTCTGAACCTCTCCATCCTCTCCCTTATATCTCTTACACCTTATTCCTTATTAACATGGTCATCGTTGTGTCACGGGTAATTGTACGTTTGAGTGCAAACGATCTTTCCTTCAGTTTTGCAGCTTTGACTGTGACTGAAAAAAATCTTGATGGTGTGTCTTGCCCAAACACATCACACTGCAGAAGTAATGTGATTCTTCAGTCATAAACTGAATATACATTTATGAATATACGTGTCAGTCAGGGTTTATTGGCTGTAGGTGCTCACATGTGAAGAACATATTGAAAATGCTTCTTTACAGATAGATGGCCTCTGAATATGAAAAGCTGAATATGAAAGACCTGTCTCTCCCTTTCTCATGCTCCCTTCCCCCTCACAGTCCTCAGAAAACCATAAAAGCAGTTCAGAAATGAGAACAGGAATGGAATATGAAATATTCAGAGCGCTTATAGTGTGAACAGTGCTGATCGGAGCAAAAGAAGGCTTCTGTGTGTGGGGCGATGATGACACTTTCTCATGCACCGTCAGATTGTATAATCCACACTGTCAAAAATCGATTTAGTCTTGTTTTCCAGTAAAATATTTAAGTATCCTTAAAACAAGATACATTTAATGGAAGTGGAATTATGTAACATGGTAAGATTTGTTATCAGAAAATATTTCTTTTAATATATTATATATATTAGGGATATGCCGGTATCAAATTTTCATGTTGCGATTAATTGCTAATGCTTTTATCACGGTATACGGTGTTATCACGGTATTGAAATTTAGTTTTTAAAAAAAGTGCTGTCATAATACAGTATAAAAGGTTTAATAACATTTTTCTTATAACAAAAATAACTGAACATTTAGCAATAAAGCAATCATGTTTATAAAATGTATACATTTTAGAAGCATTAATATTAATTATTATAATAGTTTTTTTTGTTATAATCATTAACCTTAAAGAACTTTAGTTTATGATTCATGCTTAAAGCTTGTACTTGTTTTCCTAGAATTCCTAAAAACAAGATACATTTCATTGTATAGCAAAGCTGTTGAATTAACTTCAAGATAATTTGAAAATAGCACATATATGAAGTTTAGAGCACAAACAAGAATCAAAGCAGCCTCGCATTTTATATTTCATCTCTTCATTATGTACGAGCTGCTTGTGTGCTGGAAATTGGGCGAATACTTTGATTATTCGTGATAATTAGCATGCCTGTACGCAACTGACATGAATGGCACTGGTTCAAAAAGAAAACTCCTGTTAGATCTACCATTAAAGTTTTAATCCAGTGCAGAGGTCTTAAGGTTATCAGTGTTTTCAGGGTTAATGACCCGTTGCTGTTTGTGTGTTTTGTGCGACAGAAGCTCGCCGTCAGAAGTTGTCCTGTGGGGACAGCCGCCAAACCCCTCGCCTTCATCAAGCCGCCCAGCCAGAGCATCGCCATCTCTGTGGTGCCAGCAAAGACTCCCGTTTCCATGGTGACGGCACACATTAATGGACAAAAGGCGTTGAGTTGATAATTTGAAAATAGCACATATATGAAGTTTATACATAAAAATGCCATGCTCGACTCTACACAACACACACTTGAAATTGAATGCTGCTCTACTTTCTGCTTTTAAAGACTGTTTGATCACCTGCTGTATTATTTCCCACGGTAAATGAGAGGAAATGGAAGAAGACTTTGAACAACAAATAAACACACTTGCATTAAAGTACACGCTTAAATCCGAGTCCCTGAACTTGAGCTGATGCAAGAGCACAAACAAGAATCAAAGCAGCCTCGCATTTTATATTTCATCTCTTCATTATGTACGAGCTGCTTGTGTGCTGGAAATTGGGCGAATACTTTGATTATTCGTGATAATTAGCATGCCTGTACGCAACTGACATGAATGGCACTGGTTCAAAAAGAAAACTCCTGTTAGATCTACCATTAAAGTTTTAATCCAGTGCAGAGGTCTTAAGGTTATCAGTGTTTTCAGGGTTAATGACCCGTTGCTGTTTGTGTGTTTTGTGCGACAGAAGCTCGCCGTCAGAAGTTGTCCTGTGGGGACAGCCGCCAAACCCCTCGCCTTCATCAAGCCGCCCAGCCAGAGCATCGCCATCTCTGTGGTGCCAGCAAAGACTCCCGTTTCCATGGTGACGGCACACATTAATGGACAAAAGGCGTTGAGTTCTGAGACGCTCCAGACGTCCCCCATCAACCTCCAAACACCCGCCGGACAGCACATCAGCCGCTCACAGGTACAACTACACAACACTATACTAACATCAGCCAGCCACAGGTACAATAAATCCATCCACACATATATAGTACAGCGTTCTGAAATACTTTAGCGTGAAAAAGGAACAGACCCTCCACCTCACGAAATTATTATGGTAATGCACAGCATCATGCAGTGACAGATGATACATTCAGCCATGTGGCCTTCTTTATGTTGGTCAGTTCTGCCTGGAAGTACTGTACCCTTGTATAAAGTGTGCACTTAAGTCAGAGTAGATGACATGTAATTTGACACAACTGAAAGTTGAGCTATGACTTTTCAAAATTGCACTTTTGTGTTTTGTGTGTTGGTCATTCATCTGTCCACAAACTAGGGCTGCACTAGGGCTATTTATTATTAATAATAATACTTTACAGAAAACTTTTATTTTATGGAAAACTGCAGGTGATCTGTTAACATGGAGGGGCCTATAACTATAAACCATAAGAAAGGTCTAATGGCCGTTTCACATTGAGCGCGATGCGAAAAAGCGCGGCGAATCGCCAGCGAAACGATTGATCGCCTTCTGCTAATTCAATCTTGCACGCTAGGTGGCGCTGACTAACAATGCATTTTTCCTCAGATATGTATTTCGTATATGGATAAACATCGTAGGCTGTTCAATATACAGCATTAAATTAAGATAAATAAAGTTTGGTTCTACACAAGAATATCTATAATGCTTACAAGAATACATCCTAAAATATAATTAGAGGTACAATTAGCTTCAAGCTACACTTGAAAATGTATGTAATTATTAATGTCATTTGTCACAAAAACAGACAGTGCTCTCCAGATCACATAATTCAGTGGAGAATTAATAGAAATTATATTAAGAACATGTGAGAATAAATCTGTTCTCAGATACCAATGATAACAAGAACTCGGCATCCACTATCGGAATAGCCTACTCTTCTTCGGTGTTTGTTTACACTGGTTTTCGAAACAGCGCCACCACTCTCGCCTTTTTGTGCAAGAGCTGCTGCTCCGGGCAAGTGATCTTAGCTCAAATCTAATTGGATGGCCCATTTCATCGTGGAGCGATGGGGAAAAAAATCGACACACGGGACGAATAAAAAAATCCTTGCTTTTTTGCGCCGTGAATGTTTGCGCCTAGTGTGAATAGCCCCATAGGGATCTATTGTTTCGATTCGAAAGCGTCATCGTGCCCAACATTCGCGCTGAATTTTCGTGTTCAGTGGGAAAAGGCATTAATGTTTTGTTATAAAATATTATATTATTATGAACTAGACCTATATGACAACAATTTCTTACTTTTTGTCAGGAGGTCAGGCATCCATGTCTTAAATATGAAATGTGAACCTCTTGTACATCCACTTAGAAAAAAAATTCTGTACACTTCTCAGAATCATCTTCTAAACGTCCCTTTTCATCCAAAAGTATGATCATTTGGATTCTCTCATGTTTATTTCAAATTTCTTTCGAGAGAAATTTAATTTTTCCTATTTTTACCCAAAATAGGTCAGTGTGAGCATTATTGAGTGCTAAACATGTAAAATTTCATTTATACTGGAAGCTGGAAGGTGCCTCACAGAAGTAATATATCTTCTGACGTTCCAGGAGATCCCTTATATGGATGAAGGCATTGAGCTATCACTGTAGCTAAATTAAAAGTAAAGAGAAACGCTTTGATTAAACATGAAGACAATAAACACACAGTCTCAGCAATATATGGTTTACTTATACATGGCTCTCTTTTTTGGAAAACGGGTTATTAAATACTTCTCATAACAAGTTTGGGAAGATGTTTGGCGTGTGTTGTTGAAAATTGCAGCAAGGTATGACTGTATTACGAGTATTGTTCTTCACTCACTTACTCACAGTACTGTCTTGCCTTGTGTTGTTGGTTGTATTATGCTCAGCCAACAAAACATTAAACGTGTTTGTCCACAAACTCCTACAAACAAAAAATCTATATATTTTCAGTGATTTATTTGCTTAGAGACTCAAAGTGTGTATCTTCTGACGTTCCAGGAGATCCCTTATATGGATGAAGGCATTGAGCTATCGCTGTAGCTAAATTAAAAGTAAAGAGAAACGCTTTGATTAAACATGAAGACAATAAACACACAGTCTCAGCAATATATGGTTTACTTATACATGGCTCTCTTTTTTGGAAAACGGGTTATTAAATACTTCTCATAACAAGTTTGGGAAGATGTTTGGCGTGTGTTGTTGAAAATTGCAGCAAGGTATGACTGTATTACGAGTATTGTTCTTCACTCACTTACTCACAGTACTGTCTTGCCTTGTGTTGTTGGTTGTATTATGCTCAGCCAACAAAACATTAAACGTGTTTGTCCACAAACTTCTACAAACAAAAAATCTATATATTTTCAGTGATTTATTTGCTTAGAGACTCAAAGTGCAGTATTGCGACACATTGTACTTTTGCTGCTCACACTTATAAAAACAGTCAACCATAAGAACACTGAAATAATCTGTTCACAAACTTCTGTAAACAAAACAATATTTTCGTTGTTTGGGTGAACAGGTACAATGTTCCAACCTATTTTACAGTCACCCGTTGCCTCATTGTTTATATCAGATGAAAAATATTGCCTGCTCTGGTTGGAGTGTGTCCTGGTGCAGGTCTTCATAAATAATAGCAAAGACCTTCCCAACAGAAAAGACTCTTTATTCGCATGAGTAGTCACCCCCTCCACTGCTTCTTTCACTCTTCCTCCCCCCACTCTCTCCCTTCCCCCTCCTTCATGCTGGAACGCTGGGATTGTTTTACTGCCTTTTATGGCTGTATTGTTTGGGAGAGTGAAGCTGTTTTCAGCTCTCCCAGCTGCCCACTGATTCAAACCCTAAAACACCCATCAGACTGGAGGAGGAGAACCAATCACAGCCTTTTTGTTTTGTTGATGAATACGGGAGGGGGGAGACATCTCAGACCACCTGGCCAGTCATTTGGAGCCGGATAATACGTGGATTGTGGTCCGGTGTGGATGCACATACTAACAGCATCATTTCAGCACACATGTACCATATGAAGCAGTTTTACAAGCTACAAAAACAACAAGGATAAAACATCCAATAGTTGTAGTTGGTGAGGATTTTTAATGTTTTGTTATAAGAATTAGCAACATTTTTACCAAAGTTTATATGATTGGACTTACACATCGCCAGTGAACAGTGTAGCGTAATTGTTGAGAGTCTTTTGAATGATATACCTTTTTTAAGGACGAAATAGATTAGACAAGTATACAGCAAATTTAAAACTAATTTGTAAAGAATATCTTTTTTTTTTTTTTTTAAGTTTGTAGAACTGGATAGTAAAAGCATGCAGGGAATGTAATATTTGTAAATGTTAGAATGTTAAAAAGATCAAATAGCTTGTCAAAATGAAGAATTTGATGGTAAAAGCATTTAATCAAATATCTATGTTTGAATGTTAGATCTAGAATGATAGATCAAATTATGTATAGTTTGAACGGATGAAACAAGCCAGGATTTCCTGTAGCCCAGACAGTAGTACATGTTCACTATCAAATATCAAGGTTAAAAGTTCAATTCCGAGGGAAAGCAAGAAATGTATACCTTGAATGCAATGTAAGATGATTTGGATAATAGCATCTGCTGCATAAATGTAAATTAAAAGCACACAGTAAATGTTCACAGATTTAAAAACATCACTACAGCATTTTTATTTCAAAACAATTTGTATATAACAAAGCTGGAGTGTTATAACTTAATCTTATTATTAGGGTTTCTTTTCCTATTATTCGCCTGTAAAACAATGTATGAATAATATGTACGTGTATTATTAAATTAGACCTAAAAACATGCATGTAATAGCATGATTATTAGTGTCCATGTGCAAATGAGATGAACAATGTTGCTTCAGGAGGCAACATGTATTTCAACACAGGAAACACAAAAGAGGAATATTAGGCAACAGATTGAGCTCAGAGATTGGGTTCATTATTTACCAAGTCCATAAAAATGGAGTCCAGCAGCACATCTTTCAGAAAGGTAGTTCTTCTGTCTGCTTATTTACAACCTCCACCTGATGTCTTTACTTTTGTTAGGCAGCAGTCAGAAGTATTTCTCTGCTGTTTCCCAGCGATGTCAATGTCAAACAAAAGAGACTTATTTCGAGTGGAAATTCTTGATGTTGGTTTCCAGGAATCAATTGAATAGATTTAATTACCATTGTTGAAACATACAATTTTGTGACTCAAAAAATGGCATAAAATCACTTGTTCATTAGGTGCTTTTAAAGTCTGCCAGAGTAAGACAGAGTTATTTCCCTCCCTGTTCTAATTTCTATTATTCTGGTCAATGTTTGTGAGCACTTCTCATTTTATCGCCTCCTTAAGATAAGACTTGCTGTATTCCTCATTTTTAGGTCGCTTTGGATAAAAGCTTCTGCTAAATGAATACATGTAAATGTTAATCTTTATTATTTTTTTCAGGGTAATGAATATTGTGTACAAATATGAATTATTTATTAATATCATAAATATTTGGCCAGTCACAACATAACAATTTACAACCTGAAATAACCTTGCTTTGTCATAAAAAAGTAAAAATTATGTATTTGACCTTGACACACAGTCATAAGAAGGGGTGAGCAACTCAAGCCCTCGACGTCCACTATTTTGCATTGTCTAGGTCCAACAATAATAAAACGGTTTAAAAAACTTCACCAAAATCTTCAGGATTACTTGAAAATAACTGTCAGGTGTTTGATTGGGCTTGGATCTAAACTATGCAGGTCCTAAACTCTGCCCATGAGGGTCCTCTATGGTTTTTATGGGGGTTTTTGTTTGTTTGTTTTTGCCTGTTGGTTGCACCATGTGACTTTGATTTGACATGCTTAAATATGAAATTATACAAATTTTAATAATGCAAAATATCAGAAGCGTAAACAAGGTTTTCTTATGAAAGTGTATTTTAAGTCATTTTATATATTAATTATATTTTTTATCTATATTTTTAAATAAATTAATAGATAGGGACAAGGAAAGAGCATCTTATTTCACTGTAAAATATTTTAACCATGAAAAGTTTTATGTTTGTTTCACTGCACTGCATTCAAGTTTTTTTTTTTTTATGTAAACATGTCCTAGATGGCAGTCTTTAACCATTTTGCCACATCTCGCTCACCTCACGCATGAACACTGTCTTTAAGATGCTGTGTCGAATTTAAAGTTCAAATTTAAAACCCGTGTCAAAACCCTGCCGTCTTTTCCATTCATCAGTGTTAGAAAATGTTTTGACATGATCTGCAGCTTTGACGCTTCCAGTTGTATCTAGTGTAGTCTTACAGAGGAGCCACCTAAATGGAGATGGGCTCTGTGCCGATGTTTATGCCCAGCTGATAAGTCAGCATTGGGGTGCTGTGCTACAAACAGCCACAGTAGCACACTCCGGTCCAAAAAGCATCACTAATAACTCCCACACACCAGTGACACAGCAAGTGTCAAGTGTTAATTGAATTGCACAGCGTCTACATGTGTGGAGAGAAAAGCACAGGGTTGTTCTGATGACACATTTTGATTGCTTCATTTCATTTCCAAAATATTATTACTATCCTGGTTCAGTTAACATGTAAGGTTATGTTTTTTTTATTTAATACTGTGAAATAATAGATGTTAGTTTAATGTTACCTTTTTAAGGTTGGTTGTTTATCTGTCTCCATGGTTGAAGTCAACTGTCCTTTTCAGTAGAGGAAGGAAAAACAAATATAATGTATATGCTTTGGGTCCAACTGTATCGAGATAAATGTCACTGTAGTTTTCCCTCTCTGCCTATAAAACACTCATCCGTAAGTGTAATTTCCTCTTAGGCCAAACTGCTGAAGATAGTGGCTTTATTAACTGTAGTATTTTAACTGCTCACAGCGCCTCCATGTGGTGTTTTCTGGTATTGGACCACTAGTGAGAGAGGATATACAAGTCATTTTTTTAATGTGACATTATTATCATAAGAACTTCTGTGTTAAGAGCTATTTAGGTTTTGTCATGCACAGTTTTTTGGTTATTTCTTTTTATATTGCTTGTAATGTGAGAAAAGTAGTGAACTAATATTCTGTCATATAACTGTTTTCTGTAGATATTTTAGCAGCTGAACAAGGAAAAACGTGTTTATAACAATATAACAAACAACAATATATACATTTTTACTACATAATTTTGCTAAAAATGCTATGAGAAGACTTGCATTTTTTATTGATTGATGAATTGTAGAATCTGAATTTTCTTGAATTAATTTGGTGGTACGTTTTGAACTCGTAACAAAGCTTAATATCTTCTATGGTGTTGCTTGACATCTAAATTAATCTTAAAGATTTTAAGTTATTTTACTGGAAAACAAGCAAAATACTTAAAAATACTTAGTAAAAGTGTTTTGTTTTCATAACATTAAGACATATAAGGCCACACAGAATGTTTCATACAGTATAATAAAAATGTTTAGTGATTTAATGAAAATGTTTAGTAATGTTTAACGTCAGTGATTACAGCAGTTGTTTAAACAGCCATAAGATTTATGACAACTCACGCTTGTGCCATTCCAAACCTAAATGACTTTATTTCTTTTGTGGACCCCAAAAATAGACTATTGCATTTGAAATGTTCTGATAAACAGCTAAAAATAGGTGCTTCAGTTTACCATTACAAAGCATAATGGGGCTCCAGGCCAGAATAAGCTTTATAGCTTCTGACTGTTCATAAACTCCTGCTGGAAATGTTTCAGTCTTGTTCCTCTATCATTGTGTGAGGAGTCTTTTACACTCATTTCACTCCTACACATGTCTAATCAGGCCTCTGAATCCTCAAACGGTCCGTGACGTTCCAGGAAAGAGCAGAATTGTTAGCGTTCACCTGACATTTCGTTCTTATGGCAGCTGCAGGGGCTGATGGGTAATTCACTGCAGGCCTGCTGTTTAATTCAGTACTTTCACAAACTACAAGCTGAATGCCGCAGCTCAAGGTTACTGCTGTCGCTCTCTCTCTCTCTCTGCTGGGATTCAGCAATTACTAAAATCACAGCCCTGACGGAGCAAGACATTTCATCCGGACCGTTGTCATGGGAACAGGCCGCAGGCTGCCCCACCTCCTCATGTCGGTTCGCTACTGCACAGTAGACTGAGATGAGTGACTGAGAGGGATTTTAAAGCAGTACGTCTCAAACTCTTTTGTCTTGTATTCTTCTGGTTATATAAGACCCCTGTGACAGCAGGACATGAAGTGCAAAATCGGTGCTCACTGTGGCCATGGATGACATTACAGTGTCTACAGCAAACTAAAGCTTTAGAAGCAAATTTAATATTTAGAGTGTATTTATAATGCTATTATATATGGCTGAGGGGTTAAATCTCCACAAGAGTCCTTATTAGTCCTTATTTAAGCAATATGGTACTCAGGGTCTTTATAAAACATTAAAATACAAAACTAAATGAATAAATTATTAAAATAAAAAAATGAAGTGACATTACAGAGCTCAAACTTCTCGTCTTTATTCATCAGTCAACATGTGATTACAAGTGATTACTGCGAACTTAACATGTTAAAATGTTAAGTTAAAACTAGTGCTGTCAAACGATTAATCGCGATTAATCGCATCCAAAATAAACGTTTTTGTTTACATAATATCTGAGTGTGTACTGTGTATATTTATTATGTATATATAAATACAAACACATGCATGTATATATTTAAGAAAAATATGTTGTTTATATATTAAATCATGTGGGGTAAACAACATGTGAATAGAGTAATATGTCTGAATTAAGATTATTCATTAAGCAGTAGGCAAAAAGTACCCAGATGACATACTGAAGTTTAAAGTGAGAATCTCTATTACATCATACTCTATTTTTGACTGCCACTGTAGACATCAGCGGCAGATAACTATGAACTTATGCTAGTTACTTCTGTGATTATTTGAATGTTATGCTAGTTACTTCTGTGATTATTTGAATGTTTGTATCATAAAAAGAGAATATATTGAATGGTTGACCGTTTCTAATGCAGTTTCATATGCAGATTTGAATTTTCAAATGACACCAGTGTGATCATGTTTCAGAGGATTAATGAATCAGTCAAACTTGTACAAATTAGTATAAAGAAATAACTGTCCAGATCAATCGTCCAACCCTCTGATCCACTGATTTATTCTTACCAATAAATAAGTTAAACTACCTCACTAAAACATAAGTCATCACCTGAATCACCACTTAATGACTGACTCAAAATGAGCCATGAAATGAGTCAATCCCAAGAGCATGTTTGTGCACCAGTTTTTGTTTCAATTCACTGAAAAGCACAATTAGAAGAACCACTTCATGAAAATGAATCTGGCTCTTCTGTTCTGTTTGGCTGTTTAGCATGAGCAGTAGATGAAGTAACTACGTAATTATGTATGTTTTTCATCATTCTGTCCTCCTAACCTCTGAAATGATTGCTATTCCTGTCTCATCATATGTTTGGTTTCTGTCTGACAGATGTTGGGAGCCCTCACCGCGATCCCAATAAAGGTGCCTCACATCAGCTCTCTGCAGTGGCTGGCAGGACACTCACCCAGTGTGCTACCTCAGGTAATACACAACATTAGAAAAACACTCAAACCTGTATTCATGAAACCTTATTATTTACAAAAAAAATTTCATAGAAGGCACTTTTAAAACATGTCAAAGACACAGCAAGCGTAGATAATCCACTGTAGTGACCCCTAACAGGAGCAGCTTAAAGTGAGAATGAGAGAGATTCATAGCGGACTATTTTATTTATTTTATTGCTTTTTATCACTACTTTATTCTTTCCTTTAAGAGAGTTTCATTTTTTGTAATTATTGAATAAATTAATGAACTTGAGTAGTTGACATATAGTATCCTTTTCATCAACAAAGACTTGATTAAAATTTAAGGTAGTGTATGTCTTAAAGTAATAGTTCACCCAGTAATTAAAATTTGTTGTTAATTTAGTCACCCTCAGGTAATGTATTTTCTTCAGTAGGACAGTATAGAAGATTGAAACCTTAGTTTTTGGTGATTCATAAAATGCAAGTTGATGGCTACCATCACTTTGAGAATCAAAAAAGAATATACTGCCAAAACAAAATTAATACCCGTGGTTCCTGACATTATATTGAGGTCTTATGAAGTGAAACGATTGTCTGTGCTAGAAATTGAACATTATTTTCAACTTTATTACCTGTAATCCATAGCTTCAGACAAAGAGGAAAGTTTTTTTCTGCAAACTGGTTCTTTTGGACAGTTCATTCTAATGAACTGGTTTAGATAACCATTTCACCAGCTTGTTCATGTAATCATGTAATTAAGTCACGTATACACAGTAGTGGTCGACCGATATTTATTTATTTTTTTTACAGCCGATGCCGATATCTTGGCAAGCAGGGTGGCCGATGGCTGATATAAAGCCGATATAATTTTATTTATTTTAACTGATATTTGAGAAATTTGAAATCATTTGAAAATGGATTAAAAAATAATTATGTTAAATAAACATACTTATACTTTAGATGACAAAGTATATCACAAATAAATAAATATTTAATAAAAATATAATTAAAAAGGAAGTAAACACTGTAACCAACAGGGCACTCAGTATTCTGGGAAGTTTGTGTGCATTGGGTTCTTGGTGTGAACGGGGCTTAAGTCTGCAAGGTTTGCGAAATTAAATGTTCGTTAGTCATTCAAAGATTTGTTTAAATGATATAAATGCATATTTGCTGAATGCTGACGGCAAACAAGAAAGTATTATAATATGTGCCTTTCTATTACTAATAATATTAAAGCAATCGTTATAATATTTTTGTATACATTTTAATTCCTTTGTTTAACAGTTCTATCTGATTATTAGATAGACTTCTATCTATATTAGACAGAACTGAATGACGACAGCGAACAAGAGGGAGAATGTGAGCACTGTGTGTTCAGGTGCTGCCATTCTCGGCGCCGTCAAAATAAAAGTCGAACGCATTGGCCAAACAGAAAAACTTATCGGCCGATGCCGATATTTGAAAAATGCCAAATATTGGCCGATATATCGGCCTTGGCGATATATCGGTCGACCACTAATACACAGTTATGTTATTAAAGCACCCAATAATGATGTGAAACGCATATGTTTTACATGTCTAAAACATAGTGAATAAACTGGTTTTAATCAACTCACCTTTTTACATAAACACTATAAAAACTTTCATATCGCCCCTTTATTCAAGTGCTCGGTTCACGCATGCTTTTATAACTGCTCATCAGTTCTTTGGTCCCCAATGTTTCCTCAGTTGAGTGTTCTTCTGGAATAACTGAATAAGTTGGCAAAAACATTCTTGGATCATATACGGACGTATATTGGCTTATTTTGCAAATTATTTTTGACTGATTTGTAGTTTCTTCCACAGACTGATTGTTTCCCTTCATAAGACCTCAATATATTGTCAGGATCCATAGGTATTGATTTTGTGTTGCCTGTATATGCTTTTTTTGACTCTAAAATGAACATGAATCACCAAAAATCGTGGTTTCAGCTAAAAATCTTCTTTACCGTTCTACTGAAGAAAAAAGTCATCTATATCTTAATGGATGGAACTTGCTCTATAAATAACGATTGCAGGGGTAAAATTCCTCCATCATCAGCTTTGTAGAGTAATGGAAAAATGCATTTGAAATGACACAAGTGAAAATAAACAGAAAACTTTGTGCTCACATAGAATTTTATACACAAACTATTAATTTATGACATAAACATCTGAGATTTATTTAATAAAGAGATCATAAACAAGCCAAACTTCATCCAAAATAACCTGCAACTAAGCAAATGTCAATCAAAAGCTGACAGAAACTTGACCTGAAAGATTGAATGATTTTGTTTAAGAGATCAAAATATTTGAAGCCAAAGCCAAGAACCATCTGCTGCTTAGGAAAATAAACTTTGTGTTCTGTGTCTTTTTAGGTCAGGCCAAAGACTCTCATTCCAGACAGCCTTCCCCACAGCCCATGCCGAGAGCAGCAGTCCGGTCAAACGCTGGCCGTGCTGCAGGGCATGGCTGTGGTCAGCCCAAAGAGCCAAGGCGCATCTTTGCCAACTGCCAACAGCACCTTCAGTCACAAGAGACTGTCCAACGGGCAGGAAGAGAGTTCCTCTTTGCCCTCGTCTGCGCCGAGCACGTCCACAGCCTCCGCAAGTCCAGGGGTGGCTTACGCCATCATCTCAGCAGCCTCGCCTGCAGCCCATGGGGTGTCAGGTGTAACCGAGGCCATTAAGGTGCAACCGCTGATTTTCAGCCCTGACAGCAAGGTCAGAAGATCTTTCATCACCTACTTACCTAATAAACATGCTGCTCTGCTTGCTGAATTAGTTTTCAACTTGCATGATGCCGTTAGTGTCACACTGTGGCAAATGCTAATTAGATGCACATTATCTGTTCAGTTGATTTAAAGGGTTAGTTCACCCCTTTCAGCCCTGCAAGGTCAGAAGATCTTTCATCACCTACTTACCTAATAAACATGCTGCTCTGCTTGCTGAATTAGTTTTCAACTTGCATGATGCCGTTAGTGTCACACTGTGGCAAATGCTAATTAGATGCACATTATCTGTTCAGTTGATTTAAAGGGTTAGTTCACCCAAAAAAATGAAAATTAGCCCATAAATTACTCACCCTCAAGTCATCCTAGGTGTATATGACTTTCTTCTTTCAGACGAATCCAGTCGGAGGTATATTAAAAATTGTATTTGATCTTTCAAGCTGTTTCATGGCACTCAGTGGGTGTTGCATGCATCCGTCCAAAAGAAGTTAAA